TAGGGAATGATTAACACATTCTATGAATTTAATGACCTGCTTCTCTTAATATTTAATGCCTACTGTTTCCATGATTAGTTTTTTTAGATTGCTTCTACTGAAAGGGAAGGAAGGAGAACATAGCTGGCTTTCCACTTTGTGTATTGGCTCATTTGAGATCACGCTGGTCAAAATTTTCAAAAGCAATTAGGGTTTTTTCTCCCATAAGTCTTGTATTCCTCGGCTCAGGGTGTATAACATCAGCAACCTATTCTGAAAGTTCTGAGTTCGTTTTTCATCTGAGTTCCTGCTGGCAGGAAGCGATGTACAGTCAGTTTCTTCTGGTAGGTTGAGGTTTTGGGATGGGAGAGGCAAGAGGTGAACATTTATTGGAAATGTAATGGTAATGCTGTAATACCACGAGTGAATCGTGGATAGATTCTTTCTGCCACACAGTGTTCCCAAAGGTTAAACACTTTAGCAGAAGTTTAAGCTTAAAGATACACTGAAAGGAAGATGTCAGGTCATTTGGATGTTTAGTTTTTGAAGACATAACCGGTGATCAGTTTTTGTTTGCTTGCTTGTTTAGTCGTGCCATCAGGAAGACTACCTCTGTGTTTTACCTGAAGTTTGGTGTTGGCTCCTTGTGACTGTTTATAATATAATCTTGTCGGGAATTTCAAGAACAACATTTGTGTCCTTTCTGCGACAGATGTATCATTTCTATTATGCTCTTTTCCCCCCTTTATTATTTTGAAGTATAAAAAGATAATATTATAATATTTAATGGGTTTTTTCCTTACTGGTCTGTCTGTACTTTTCAGAGATGGAAGGCAAGGGAATAAAATCACTAATATCGTAGCAGGGAAAAATTTGAGAGAAACAATAAAATATTCTGAAGGTACTGCTGGAAGAGAAGACTGTTAAATTAGGATAATTGATCTTATTCTTGTAACTCATTAAGGGTGAAATTTACCTCTCTGCAGCATCATCACAAGACCTGGGCAGCACTTACATTCCACTTAAACTTAATTTGAATTTAAGTGGTGCACAGGGTTTTTGCTGATCTTCATGCAGGGAAGAATTAATGGATCGTTTGAGTTTTTTCATTCTGGCAATTATCTGCAAATGTTCTGACATGCAGAAAAGTGCACATGTTTCAGAAAAATTTCTTCTAGAAACATCAGTAATATGATGAGGCAAACTTGTGTTTCCAAACAGGAAGATTTATTTCTGTAAAGCAGAGCATGGTGCCCCCAAAAAGAGCTTTCAAGTGGAGTGTGAAGAGGTAAATGAGGATTTTGTTCTTGGTGACACAATGAATTCATTCTTTCTTTCCAAAGGCTACCAAAGCTCACATAAAGCTCAACACTAAAAAGCTTTACCAGGCAGATGGCTATGCAGTGAAGGAACTGCTAAAGGTCACCTCTGTGCTTTATGGTGCTATGAATACCAAGGGAGTGGAACGTGCAGACGTGAGCGAGGAAGACAGCAGCAAGTTCAAGTTTGATCTTGGCTCAAAAGTAAGGACCACTTGTACTCTTGTTTTGGGCAGGGGTTTTGTGTTAACGTATGAAAAACAAATCCGTTTTCTATCTGAAACTTAAGTAGAGAATGTTCTCGCAAGGGCGTGGGTATGGTTTTAACTCATACTTTCTGTAGTTGAGGTTATATGCTATGATTTGTGATATGATACGATATGATCTCTGTGAATTCTGAACCAGAAGCGCATAATACAAGGCAACAGTGGCACAAAATGGGTTGTGTTTGGTTTGGACTGCTGTTGACATCATAGGAATATTGGAGTAGGCCGGAATAAAGACAATTTTCTATCTGCTAACCTTGTTGCAACAGGAGGAGCTTGCAGAATACTGACTGAAGGTTAGTTTTCAGCCCGTTTGCATTGAAGGAAAGGGAAATCTTCATGTTACCCTAACAGACATCAAAGCTACTTGAGCCCTTAAAATAAATGTCCCTCTAAATATTAAAAAAACCCAACGCTTTGTTAAGTATTAAGTAAGAGGAAGTCCTGTTACTGCTTTTTGTTAGTTTTAGCACCTCTTCTATAGTCTAATACTTTTAGTCTTTGATTCTTTTATAGCTATACTATGTCATGCCTGCTTGTTAGGCAACAATGCTACCATTCTTGAAAAAAATGGCAGAACCACAGGCGATTTTTCCTCTATATATGTCTGGTGTGTCTCTCTGAAGAAAGCACCTGAAGAAATAAAGAAAAAACACTTGTAGATGATCAATATTCATTACCTGTGCAATATGCTGGCCACATACCTGTTGGTAGATATACTTTTTACTTTTGCATATGAAAAAGGTGATGTTTCCCTTTGCCCTGGGCAGCACGTGAACCAACAACTGGCTGGGTCACACAGTTTTGAGGAGGTTTTTGATTGTTGCTGTTGTTGTCCTGAAGTGGCTGGGGTTTCACCCAAAAGCCTGTGTCTAAATGATGCCTCATCTAGACCACTTTAAAGCCAAGAAAGAGGCTCACTCTGATTCCAGTGGACAACTTCTTCAATATTATAGTAGAGTTTTGGCCACTGTGCTGACCTCCTATGCAGTTTTATCACCAAAATGGGAAAAATCTGTCGTGGATTTTCTTTGTGGTATTGGGGATTCTCTTTTGCTATTCAGTGCTGTTGCTGTGTTTCTAGATTACTGACTTGAAGGCAGCTAGACAGCTTGCTTCCGAAATCACCTCCAAAGGAGCAAGTCTCTATGACTTACTTGGCAAAGAAGTTGAACTAAGGGTAAGTACACACTGGAGAGCGTATAAGAACTTGTGTTCACTGGGTGCTGCAAAGGAAAAAGGTGAAAAAAGTATCAGTAGTTCTTCTTAACAGCTGCGTCTAAAATGAATATTCTGTGGGTTTGAAGAAATGGGTCTGAAAGTTTGTACTTTCTTCCCATCATATTCATACTTAGATTGCAGTAAGTCTGAGAGAACAGAGTTTGGCATTTTCTCTTTAGCAGGAAACTGAAATACTCTCTGTAGAACTGTTTGGAAATATTAACTTTATATGTACGTGTTAGTGGTGGGGATAGATATCATCTGAAAGATAAATGATTAATGCCATTAGTTTTCCAAGCGCAAGGCTCATTATTTCTGTTACAGTAATTGAAGGCCTCGCAAACCTGCAGGGTACGTATTCTTCAGCTTAGTTGTAAATTCACAAGCTGTTGCATGAAGTCACAGAAGTGTCCTGAAACACTGTCAATAAGTCTTTTTCAATTATTTTCATAAATGCATTTATCTGCAATGCTGGAGGTTGTTCATTTTCTGAAAATAGACATTTAAAGAAGGGAAACCCTGAATGTTCCAGTACTGGTTTTGGTAATCTTCAGATTTGCAATATCTGAGACGTAGGACGTGCACCCTGTAAGAGCCGTAGACCATCCGCCTTGACGATTGATGCTCCCAGATCCTTGTTTGATGGAGTACGAGTGTTTCAAAGGGTTGGTGATATACAGGGAAGATTATCTGTGGAATGCTGCCTTTCCTGCTAGATATGTAGGTCGGCATGGTATGCAGCAGTGTGAAAGGCATTAATATTTCAAAAGGGAGAGAAGAGTGATAAGCCAGTTTAATTCAACATACACAATTTTCACAAAACCATTAATCGGTCACTTCTCATCTTGCATTCTTTGCTTAATTTCTTGGCTTTGAAATAGTTTTCACACAAATGCTACCTAACGTGTTAATATTTGCTTCAGAGCATTAAACTCTTTTTTCTGTGTACAGCATCCTTAAGAATTCCACTAAAGAGTCAAGTATAGGTCAGTATAAGGCAACATTTTTTTAAAAAGTACTCAGGCATTGGTTTGAAATTGGGCATTGTTTAATCACTTTAAATCAATGCTTTTAGGAGTCCAACTGACCTTAGAACCAGGCCCTAGAAAAGGGACTTGCACAAGTGCATTGTGCTGAAAGCATGAAATGAAAAATCAAGAGATGAGTAAGTGCTTCAGTGCAGCCACTTCTCTTTGGGTCCATTAGGAAATCTTCAGTGGAAGACTATTTAAAGGTGCAATTTCTAAAAGGATGGTATTTCTTATATACAGTAGCGAGTGTACGTTTCTCATGGCGTAATGACTGAGTGCACAAGGTGGGACTAGCTAATCCTATATAGGTACACAGTTTATATTCTGCAAAAAGGTTTGGCAGATTGAACTAGTTGTCTTTAAGAAATCTGGTCTTGGGAAAGATGACCTTTGCTTCTGTCTCATTAGCTCCGAGTTTATATTCTAAAAGCACGAGGTGACACTATGACAGCACAGTGAGAACCTCCAGAGAGCAGCAGAAGAGACTTTCATGCTCTGCTCCTTATGATTTGTGACTGGTTCCAGCCTTCTTCAGTGGTTTGTTAAGAACCAAAGAACCCATTTTTGGCTTGTGTGTTAAATGCCAAGTTTGGTACATAAGCGTGTGACAAGTCTGAGACCTGAGCCTGTAGCAAAGCAAATAGGTTTCAGGTTAAAAGCTACAGGGTCACAGTAACCAGTTGTTCTGTGGAATTTGTCAAGTTTTCCTTTTTTAATTACAAGCACCCACCTCTGCCTTTCACTTGAAGTATGAAATTTGCTCATGAAATGAGAGGCTTAGAGCCGGACGCTGCTGGTTTTCTTCTGTCGCTGTTAGGTTTGATAACGCACACGGAAGTCAGTGGAGCTGCAGTTCTTACTAAGTAGCCAGCATTGAGGGCAGTAAGGAATTGCCCTTCTTCATTGCACACATATTCCCTGGATCCTTCGTAAGAGCTGGTGGGGTGCTCAGAAGATCACAGGGATGGCATCTTCTGCCTGCCCTTCCCACCCAATTCCAGGTGGGCAGAAGTGAAGTGCGGTTAATTCTGGCTTTGTGTGGGGAATTAGAGCTTTGTCTGTAGATATCAAATTAGTTGCCATTAATCTAAGGTTACTTTTATTATTTTTTAATGTGAGGGTTATTGATTTCCATTGCTTATTTTCTTTTGACGTTGCATGGCTAAGTAATGCACACAATAAATTGCACTGGCAGAGGGATTGTGCTATTAGAGGGTGGTAGGAGAGCAGTATGGTTTATTTTTTCATTACATTTTATGTCCTGAAACTTGTTGCATATACAAAAATGCATCGACAGCTGTGATGCTGTTTTAATGAATTTCAAAACGTCGTCGTTTTATGTTCCCTGAAGCTCTTCCCCCCCCGCCCCCTTTTCCAATTCATTCATTTCCAGATATTTAAATGAAGGATGTTCCTACCTAGGCTTAGACAGACTGATGATATATCTTGTTTCTATCCTAAGTGAAGACTGCTTCATTTTCCAGTAACTAAAAGAAATGCTAGCATTTGACACTAATGGGTTGACTAGGTCTGTTCTTATAGTCTGAGTGGCTTTTGGGGAAAGATCACTGGGGGAAAAAGTGAAGTAGAACTCATTATTCCCTTTAGAAATGTTGACTCCAATTTGTGTCACAGCCTTTACTTTCTTTATTGGAGTTCTTTTTGCACACAATTTATATAGAAACTGTGTAGAAAAGCCTTATACATTAGATAAATTTTATTGCTCCAAGTCAGGGAGCACTTTTTTTTTTTAATAAATTACTTTCTGAATGAAAACAAATTTCAGCTAGAGAAGAGTTTATTAAGGGAATGGTTCTATTAGATATGTTGCAGATACATAGTGATGTAAATGTATGTACATATTTATTGTGAAGAGTTTAAGTCTGTATTTGTTTTCTTGGAAATGCAAGATACTGAGCCTTCCTGATGCCTTTGCAAATACATTATTTCCTGACTGAATATATAGTTCTTATGTATATGTAAACTGCTTTCACAGTTAATTTATAATGTAAAAAACCCTTTAATTTAAGGACAGAGGAAGAAACAAAACCTACAGGTATTCATTTGTTGAATTCAGACTATGATGATGTTAGTTAAGATCTTTTTGGGGAAAAAATACCCCAACCAAATTCCTGATTAACAATCCTAAAGCAGCAGAAAGCTTAAACGTGAAGCGAAGCCATTTGATTCCAGCCCTGCAGATAGGTAAAGAGATTTTCTTTCCCGCTGCCAGCGGATCCCAACGTGTGCAGCGGCTTGTGGAGCACCAGGTGTGGAGGGGGAGAAGTACAGGCGATGCATGTGTGTTTTTACGGCTGAGTCACCTGCACTGTCAGGTTGCTGTTAAACGGGAGCTTGGCCCAGTTAACTTTGGGGAGCAATTCAGCACTAAGGGGGAAGGGGATGAAAAGCCTTACTTGATCAGAGGGTCTTTGGAGTTTAATGCTGAATTCCATTGAGGCAGCGTTGTTTCTAGACCAACTGTGGATGAGCACAGCCTAGGTTATTGGTGTCCTGTGGCAGTGCAGTGGTTGAGACAGAATTTTTATTTTAAAACGCATTTAAGCCTTATGTTCACTAGATAGCTTGCAGTTTCCAATCTTACTAGGCCAAGTCTTAGAGCACAGAAATTGCAGATTTGGAATTCGTGTTGTGTAGTGGAGTTGATGAATGAATTTTGGTGCAACACGAGATCCCTAAAGAAAAGCAAATTCTATGCACGGAGACATACATCTTCATCTTCCTTGTTTCCTTTACTGCCAGGGGAACTTTCTCTGCATTGCATTGTTATGGAGCCTTAATTTTCAGAATATTTGCAACTAGCTTTGGAAGAGTAACCAGACACTCTGAATTCTGGTTTTCTTTAATCTGTTTTCTAGCTGCTTTTTTTTTTTTTTTTGGATGGGGAAGGTGGAGGTTGATTTGGATTTGCGGTGGGGATGGGAGGCTTTGTTTGGATTTCTTTCTCTTCATACACTACACTAAATGCTTAGGATGATAAAAGAAGTAGAAGTTGAAAGTACCAGTGCTGGGATGAAGCCTGTGAAGCCCAAAATCAAGAAAAGCAGTAATAAAATTAACGTCAGTACTCAGGCAAAACGCAGCACCGCTTCACTGTGCATTCACTTTGGGTTTCACGTGTGGTGGCTGCCTCTGGACCTGCAGAGCTAACCGCTGTGGTCTTGTAAACGGCCAAAAGATGTTAGAAAATCAGTGGTCCTCTATACCCTATAACATGGGGAAGACAACAAGATGAATCTTTGGGGGGAGGGAGGGGCAATGAGGTGATCCGAATAATTCTTTAGCACAAAATAAAGCAGTCAATGACTTTCAAGGTCAGTTGTGATCAGCTGAGGAAGGACACTCCTGAGTTACCATACATTGAGCATCCGAAATCCAAAAGGAAAAATTGGCGGCTATTTATAACACCTCAGCGAAGCTGACTGACTCGGAGTGCCTGCCACTTGGCGTCTGCCGCAGGTCCTGTGCACACATTAGCAGGAGCCTGTCAAGAAGCTGCCTTGCTTAGGCTTGTTGGATTATTAGACACAGTAAGATAATGAAGCAAAAAAATTCTAGCATTTTTATGCCTCCGTGCTGGTGGCAGGCATAAAGATTTCTGACCTTCTCAAGGTTGTTTTGTTTTTATTTACCTCTTAATTAGCTCTAAGCCATGTAAAACTGAAGAAGGATGAAAATAATCTTTTTTTTTTTTAAAATGTACTTAGCTTGTGCTGAAGATGGGCAGCGCAGTGAGTCTGTTTTCCAATACTCCTCTTGGCACTTCCTCTGTCTGTGACCTTGAATGAACTGTTTATTCCCTCTGTATCCTCTTGTGTAAATAAAGTAACTTCTGTAATTTTGTAGATTAAAGCTTTTAACAGCCAGGTAAAGTGTTTCCCAATCTATGGAGGATAAATTTCTAAGT